AAAGCATATCTATGAAACAAAACCTCACGATTTCCAATGTACATGTATGAGTACACTGTTTGCCTCCTAATGATGACACTTACTGACCCCTGATAAGGTTTATGAAGTGTAACTAACCTGGTGAACGTTTTTTTATGTACAACCATGTGATAGCTTCTTTTAAGGAACGAAACCATCAGTAGATGTATCAGTTTCCATGACAACTTTATCAGTTTTTATGTTATTTTAATGTTGTTGTATTTTTTGGGGTTCCATTTAAGAAAAAACTTTCTGTTAAAGCTGAACCAACTCATTTAAACTGGTCTTACATTATACCTATAATATGTATTTTTTATATTTGCCTATTTTAATATTTAATTTATTGTTGCTGACGAATAGATATTCTCCAAGAATACAAAAGTGTTTCAGTATGACAGTATTCTCCTTTAATATTAATACCTTATATATATTACTATGAGAGAAACAGTTTAATCTACTGGTAGTTTTCAGTTTGAATCTCTGTATAATATTTTCATAATAGAAATGAAACCTGAATTTATTGACACCGGAATATTCAATGATTTATTTGCCCCTTAACTCATTCACCCCTGAAGACACATTTGAACTCTTCCAAATCAAAGGTTGGAATAGTTTCAGTGGTGAATGAGTTAAGGATCCCTGTCCCACTGCACTGTGGTTTTTCTTATATACAGTAACCTTCCCTTAATTTCGTTTAGGATACAACTGTAGCCGATTGGTCCAGAACACTTTTGTTGACTTAAAGATATCGGTAGATCAGTCGGTTAGAGCAGCAATATTTAACAATTTGAGTCACGTCTAGCCACACGGACGTTTCGCAAACAGAATATTATGGTTGACTATTACTTTTTCTTTATTTCGTCTCTCTATTCTTTTTTATAAAAGTGCCCCAAGGTATATTTTTTGTTTCAGAAAACAATGATCATAACTATAGTTACGCTGGAAAAAAGTTTCAGTTTTTTGCAGTGATACGGGGATCCTTAAGATTTATTTCTTTACATTGTCTTTAATAAAGACATTACTAATATATTACAGTCATATCTGACCAAATGACTCTGTTTCCCTTGATATCAATATAGACAGGTTTACTGACACACTGTCTTATCTGACCAAATGATTTAGCACCTTGATGCCATATATAGAAATTTCACCATGCAAGTACATTTTGTCTATTTCTTATAACAGTCAAGTCTTAAGCAAAATTGATGCAAAAACTAGTAACAATGTTTTTTTCCCCATTTTGATTAGATTTATTAAGGCAATATATATGTCACACCATAAAAATACAATCATGACAGTTAAACATTACATAACTTCATTTGTAAGTAAATATCCTCCATGTACAATAGGTTCAATATTGACAGAACATCAAGGATAGCTCATAAATTTTCAATGGGAAGCTTGACACGTACTACACCATAATAACAAAAAAATAGTAAATTCTGTATTTTTATGTCATGAATTTATTCAAAGAAAATAATAATAAAAGACCATATCCAGATAATGAAATATCAACAATAGTCCAATTCAATGTATTTTAGAGAGACTTAAATTTAAACAAGGCATCACAGATGATATGAATGCCCTCGCACTGCTAATTCAAAGGTAATTGACTGCAGAAAGTCAAAATAAAAACTAGTACATGTCATGTATCATGAGGTGATAATTGTTGATATGTGCATGAAGTTTCATGATTATCGAAAAAGAAATTAATCTGTAGAGCAATTTCTACCAATTATACCGGTAGTTAGTGACCTAGATTTGACCTTAGCAGGTGGAAAAGCCAAGTCCTACTAGAGATGATGTTTGTGAATATATTTGTGAAGTCTCACAGCAATCGGTAAAGAAATGAAGTCAGTGGAGCACTGACATCCAATTCCATAAAAATCTATTTATAGTAACATTGACCTAGTTTCTGACCACAGAAGGTTTGAACACAAACTTATACAAGAAGTGATGTTTGTGAATGTGTGTTTTGTGACAATTGGACACATACGTAAGAACATACAGACAGATCCTTATATCAACCCTCAATGTCTCATCATGCGGGGATGCATTTCATACAAAAGTGTCATGCTTCACCACAGGAAGCTACTTGATTTAGTATTATTTCATTAATAATGAATTCATATTCTAGCGTTTTACTTGAAATAGAAAATTAATCAATAATTCAAAGATATGTGATGAAATAGTTCAGGTGTTAATTTGTATACATATATTGTTTTGCAAGGCCGTAAATAATCAAGATGAGAACAGGTGATTTCAAAACCTTTTACACCAGCAATCATTAAACCCAGATCATAACCGCCTCAAAACCATTGAGATATGCCTTTATTTTGTAAAAAAGAGTGACACCGATTTTTTTTTTTCTTCAGCTTTCTATGACAGGATGTGTCTTACAAACCCCTGAGGATGGGATGTGTCCTGCAGTCCCTGGGGAAAAGACATGTCCTACAGACCCTGGGGATAGGACATGTGTCTTACGTATACTGACCCAAGGGATAGGATGTGTCCTACAGACACTGGAGATATGATGTGTCCTACAGACACTGGAGATAGGATGTGTCCTACAGACACTGGGGATAGGATGTGTCCTACAGACCTCTGGGAATAGGATGAGATCTATAGACCATGGGGATAGAATGTCTCTTACAGACACTGGGGATAGGATGTGTTCTACAGACATTTGGAATATGATATGTCGTACACACCCTCGGGATACGGGATAGGACATGTGCTACAAATCCCTGAGAAGAGGATGTGTCCTACAGACACAGGGATAGAATATGTCCTTCAAACACATGGGATAGGATGTGTCCTACAGACACCTGGGATAGGATACATCCTACAGACACCTGGGATAGGATACATCCTACAGACACCTGTGAGATAGGATACGTCCTACACAAACCTGCGAAGATGATGTATGCACAGATCATTGGGATAGGATTATGCTATTGACCCGAGAAAAAGGATGAGACTGCTACAGATCCCTGTGGAGAGGATGTCATGCAGACCTCTGGAGATATAATGTGTCCTACAGACCTCTGGAGATAGAATGTGTCCTACAGACACTGGAGATAGAATGTGTCCTTTAGACTCTGGAGATAGATTGTGTCCTACAGACCTCTGGAGATAGAATGTGTCCTACAGACCTCCGGAGATCGAATGTGTCCTACAGACCTCTGGAGATAGAATGTGTCATACAGACCTCTGGAGATAGAATGTGTCCTACATACCCTGGAGATAGAATGTGTACTACAGACCCTGGAAATAGAATGTGTCCTACAGACACTGGAGATAGGTTGTGTGCTTTAGACTCTGGAGATAGATTGTGTCGTACAGACACTGGAGATAGAATGTGTCCTACAGCCCTCTGGAGATAGATTGTCTCCTACAGACTCTGGAGATAGAATTGTCCTACAGACCCTGGAGATAGAATGTGTCCTACAGACACTGGAGATAGGATGTGTGCTTTAGACTCTGGAGATAGATTGTGTCCTACAGACACTGGAGATAGAATGTGTCCTACAGACCTCTGGAGATAGAATGTGTCCTACAGACCCTGGAGATAGAATGTGTCCTACAGACACTGGAGATAGGATGTGTCCTTTAGACTCTGGAGATAGATTGTGTCCTACAGACTCTGGAGATAGAATTGTCCTACAGACCCTGGAGATAGAATGTGTCCTTTAGACTCTGGAGATAGATTGTGTCCTACAGACTCTGGAGATAGATTGTTTCCTACAGACTCTGGAGATAGGATGTGTCCTACAGACTCTGGAGAAAGGCTTGTCCTACAGACACTGGAGATATAATGTGTCCTACAGACTCTGGAGAAAGGCTTGTCCTACAGACACTGGAGATAGGATGTGTCCTATAGACTCTGGAGAAAGGATTGTCCTACAGACCCTGGAGATATAATGTGTCCTATAGACTCTGGAGAAAGGATTGTCCTACAAACACTGGAGATATAATGTGTCCTACAGACTCTGGAGAAAGGCTTGTCCTACAGACACTGGAGATAGGATGTGTCCTATAGACTCTGGAGATAGATTGTGTCCTACAGACTCTGGAGATAGAATGTGTCCTACAGACTCTGGAGATTGATTGTGTCCTACAGACTCTGGAGAAAGGATTGTCCTACAGACACTGGAGATATAATGTGTCCTACAGACTCTGGAGATAGATTGTGTCCTACAGACTCTGGAGATATAATGGGTCCTACAGACACTGGAGATAGGATGTGTCCTACAGACACTAGAAATATAATGTGTCCTACAGACTCTGGAGATAGGATGTGTCCTACAGACCCTGGAGATATAATGTGTCCTACAGACTCTGGAGATAGAATGTGTCCTTCAGACACTAGAGATAGAATGTGTCCTACAGACTCTGGAGATATAATGTGTCCTACATACCCTGGAGATTGAACGTGTCCTACAGACACTGGAGATAGAATGTGTCCTTCAGACACTAGAGGTAGAATGTGTCCTACAGACTCTGGAGAAAGGATTAATATGTCCTTCAAACACATGGGATAGGATGTGTCCTACAGACACGGGGGATAGGATGTGTCCTACAGACACGGGGGATAGGATGTGTCCTACAGACACGGGGGATAGGATGTGTCCTACAGACACTAGAAATATAATGTGTCCAACAGACTCTGGAGATAGGATGTGTCCTGGAGATAGGATGTGTCCTACAGACCCTGGAGATAGAACGTGTCCTACAGACTCTGGAGATAGATTGTGTCCTACAGACTCTACAGACCTCTGGAGATAGAATGTGTCCTACAAAATCGGGAGATAGAATGAGTCCTACAGACCCTGGAGATAGAATGAGTCCTACAGACCCTGGAGATAGAACGTGTCCTACAGACTCTGGAGATAGCATGTGTCCTACAGACTCTGGAGAAAGGATTAATATGTCCTTCAAACACATGGGATAGGATGTGTCCTACAGACACTAGAAATATAATGGGTCCTACAGACTCTGGAGATAGGATGAGTCCTACAGACCCTAGAGATACAATGTGTCCTACAGACCCTGGAGATAGGATGTGTCCTACAGACACGGGGGATAGGATGTGTCCTACAGACACGGGGGATAGGATGTGTCCTACAGACACGGGGGATAGGATGTGTCCTACAGACACGGGGGATAGGATGTGTCCTACAGACACTAGAAATATAATGTGTCCAACAGACTCTGGAGATAGGATGTGTCCTGGAGATAGGATGTGTCCTACAGACACTGGGGATAGGATGTGTCCTACAGACACTAGAAATATAATGGGTCCTACAGACTCTGGAGATATAATGTGTCGTACAGACACTGGAGATAGAATGTGTCATACAGACTCTGGAGATAGAATGTGTCTTTCAGACACTAGAGATAGAATGTGTCCTTTAGACTCTGGAGATAGATTGTGTCCTACCGACTCTGGAGATAGAATGTGTCCTGCAAACTCTGGAGATATAATGTTTCCTACAGACCCTGGAGATATAATGCATCCTACAGACCCTGGAGATAGGATGTGTCCTACAGACACTGGGGATAGGATGTGTCCTACAGACACGGGGGATAGGATGTGTCCTACAGACACGGGGGATAGGATGTGTCCTACAGACACGGGGGATAGGATGTGTCCTACAGACACTAGAAATATAATGTGTCCTACAGACTCTGGAGATATAATGAGTCCTACAGACCCTGGAGATAGAATGTGTCCTACAAACTCTGGGGAGAGGATGCGTCCTACTGACCCAGGGGAGAGGATGTATACTACAGATCCCTGGGAGGTGATGTGTGTTACAGATCCAAGGGAAAGGATGACACTGCTACAGCTCCCTATGGAGTCCTACAGACTGGCAGACACTTCCACCTGACATCAGGATTGTCCCTAGACCTAGAGATGTTTTGACTCTATTACTTGTGGATTTGTACACGACAGCAGTGTCCAGACCAGTCAACTCCGCTCTCATTGGATTATCCTCCTCCAATCAGACAAACAACGCTCAAAGATAAATTCAATTTACGAAGAACAGCCTTAACATGGGTGTTAAGGAATATTTGTACCAAATTAATCAAAATCTTATTGATTATTGATGAAAGAAGAAGTTTGATTATTTTTACCAAATGTAACCTCATAAACATGACTAGGAAGTATAGATGTTTTTCAGTGGCATAACATTTTCTAATGGAGTGCTAGGTCAAGTGTTGCAAGAATAAATTTCCTTTGGTTATGTAAAATTGTATTTACATGTAACAGAAGTCTTTGATTTCAATGCCTCTGCTAGGAGTCGAACTCAAGACCTCTGGTTTGCTAGACTGATGCTCTACTGAATGATCTAAAGAGAAATTATCTCCAGCCGAGTAAGTAGATATTGGCTAGTATTTTGTACTAAGGTGACATATAAAAAGGTCAAAATTTTGTCCTGCTAATAAGCTGTCTCATAAACATAGGAGTCAGACAATTCATTACGGGACCAAACTAATTTCTCTCCCCCTGGAATTGATACAAAAATATCTTATTTTACCAATTTTGATGATCTTGTTACATGTAGTATATTTTGTTGAACAGATCGGAAAACATTTATCTCTGTAGTTTGGACAGAAACTTGATTATTTGAACACTGAGCATGGGTGACACATTAAAATATCATTGCATTACCAGAAATCAAAGCCACAATTTTATCTATCACTTCACTTCAGCAGATCTGGTATTTCTTTAACTCATTCACCCCTGAAGACACATTTGAACTCTTCCGATTCAAAGGTTGGAATAGTGCATTATGAAAATTCTGGGGTGAATTTTAGTTAACAAGCATTGTCATATACTGAAGAGTTCTAGCAACCTCAAGAGATCCCCTGATCCAATATATTTGATGCTTGAAACCTTCATCCCCCCCCCCTTCTTACCATCACGACCAAACACTGTATGATCTATTTTAAATAGCACATCATTAAGGGTGATGACTTGAGTCACTTTTTAAAAATCTGTCTCCTTTCCCAGTTTGTCTTAGCCATGACAACAACCAACAGTTACTGCAATCCAGTACATATTTTATCAACATTTGGCCTTCCATGACTATTGATGAGCTGTCAAAGAGATGCCCTTCTAAATCAATCAGTCAACCTTTTATTCCTCTCGTGTTGTTATTTGATTGTAAAAACAAAAAGAAAACAAGCATAACACAATCTGAGCCGCATTCAATAGCGGTTAGAGCTACTGTGTAACATTTTAATAATCACTCTAGGCACCTTATCAATCAGCGACAGAAATTAGAAAATAGTTTGAAGGTCGTATCGTTCTACCGTATATGTGACCTGAGGGAGGAGCTTCACAATGCTGCATTCATCTTCAGCTATTAGCCAACATCGCCATTGTATTGAATTATGATTTGTCAGTCTATATCCTCATTATATTGTATTTATCAGCCAGCCATATAGAATTATATTGAGTAAAGAATTGTCTGCCAGAAAGGCACACTTACCCTCAGGTACATACACTGAGTTAAGTTTTGACTGTCAACATCAATATTGCACTGATTTATGTTTGTGGGCCAGAGGTACACCAATACACTGAGTTAATATTTGTCAGCCAAGTGCACACTTATACTGAGTCAAATTATTTGTAGAATTAAGATTTGTAAGTAGTGCATACTTGTATATTTTTTTTTATAAAATTGTCACCTATCAGTGCACACTTATATTGTGAGTCAAGCATTGTCTGCCAGAAGTGACACTAGCACACCTGGTGCAAAGTCAACGCTAGTGTAAAAAAAAGTACAATCTGTATGGTCATCAACACAGACTCACAGTAAGGAAGGCTTGCTGTCCACATACAATATTTATAGGACCTCCACTGATTTCCTAATCTGTACAAATGATGAGGTCCCAATGTCACACATCTATACTAGTTAGTTAGATTATAATACATGTGGTGTTATTTTTTAAGATCTTTTTTTATAAATGACCAGTGAGGAAGCTCAGTGGAGTTACTTCCCTTTACAGTCATTTGAAAAAAAACATGTTAAAAATGATGGTAGAGCAACACTGGGATGAATCCAATATCTCCTTCAACAGAATTTCTCTCAGTGTTTTCTCAATGATAAAACTGCTTTCTTAAGAAAGAATTTCTTGACAGACACTCACTCAGTAAACCCTTCCAGATCACTTCATACCATCTAAAGAATTTTGTTTACATCTTACAATAAACATAAGAAAAGCAACCACTGCCAATACTTCAATCGTTAAAGCATTATTATTCTAATGTTTTGAAATAGACTTTAGACCTACAGGTTACACTTACAGCATATAAAAAGGCAAATACAGGGACTCTTTTATCACACTCTTCTCAGCAAATACAGGGATGCTTTTATCACACTCTTCTCAGCAAATACAGGGACTCTTTTATCACGCTCTTCTCAGCACTTCTCAGCAAATACAGGGACTCTTTTATCACGCTCTTCTCAGCACTTCTCAGCAAATACAGGGACTCTTTTATCACGCTCTTCTCAGCACTTCTCAGCAAATACAGGGACTCTTTTATCACGCTCTTCTCAGCACTTCTCAGCAAATACAGGGACTCTTTTATCACGCTCTTCTCAGCACTTCTCAGCAAATACAGGGACTCTTTTATCACGCTCTTCTCAGCACTTCTCAGCAAATACAGGGACTCTTTTATCACACTCTTCTCAGCACTTCTCAGCAAATACAGGGACTCTTTTATCACGCTCTTCTCAGCACTTCTCAGCAAATACAGGGACTCTTTTATCACGCTCTTCTCAGCAAATACAGGGACTCTTTTATCACACTCTTCTCAGCACTTCTCAGCAAATACAGGGATGCTTTTATCACGCTCTTCTCAGCACTTCTCAGCAAATACAGGGACGCTTTTATCACGCTCTTCTCAGCAAATACAGGGACTCTTTTATCACACTCTTCTCAGCACTTCTCAGCAAATACAGGGATGCTTTTATCACGCTCTTCTCAGCAAATACAGGGACCCTTTTATCACACTCTTCTCAGCAAATACAGGGACTCTTTTATCACACTCTTCTCAGCAAATACAGGGACTCTTTTATCACACTCTTCTCAGCAAATACAGGCACCTTAATTTTAACCTCAACAAATACTGCCAACTTAATTTTCAAAAGGCAAATTAGTTCTCACCTCAGCAAGTAATGGCACTTCATCTCTCACCAGTATCAACAAATACTGCCAACTTAATTTTCAAAAGGCAAATTAGTTCTCACCTCAGCAAGTACTGGCACTTCATCTCTCACCAGTATCAACAAATACTGGCACCATAGTTCTAACTTAAAAAATACTGATACCTTCATTAATTCTCACCTCAGCAAATACTGGCACCTCAATTTACACCTCAATAAATACTGGCACCTCAATTCACACCTCAATAAATACTGGCACCTTAGTTCTCACCTCAACAAATACTGGCACCTTAATTCTCACCTCATCAAATACTGGTACCTTAGTTCTTACCTCATTAAATACTGGCACCTTAGTTCTCATCTCAATAAATACTGGCACCTTAGTTCTCATCTCAATAAATACTGGCACCTTAGTTCTCACCTCAACAAATACTGGCACCTTAGTTCTCACCTCAACAAATACTGGCACCTTAATTCTCACCTCAACAAATACTGGCACCTTAATTCTCACCTCAATAAATACTGGCACCTTAGTTCTCACCTCAATAAATACTGGCACCTTAGTTCTCACCTCAACAAATACTGGCACCTTAGTTCTCACCTCAACAAATACTGGCAACTCAGTTCTCACCTCAACAAATACTGGCACCTTAGTTCTCACCTCAACAAATACTGGCACCTTAGTTCTCACCTCAAAAAATACTGGCACCTTAGTTCTATCCTCAATAAATACTGGCACCTTAATTCTCACCTCAAAAAATACTGGCACCTTAGTTCTATCCTCAATAAATAGTGGCACCTTAATTCTCACCTCAATAAATACTGGCACCTTAATTCTCACCTCAAAAAAATACTGGCAACTCAGTTCTCACCTCAAAAAAAATTGGCACCTCGATTTTCACCTCAACAAACTGGCACCTTATAGTTCCTTTCTCAACAAATACTGGCACCTTAATTTTCACCTCAACAAATACTGTCACTTTAATTTTCACAATCTTAACAAATACAGGCTCTTTATAGTTCTGCCAATATTCTCACCATATACATATACCTTTCTTCTCTCTCTATGAAGAAATATACAGCTGGCATCTTAATTCTGATTTCTTCATGCCCATCCTTGTATTTCGATATGTTCTCCTGTTGGTTTTGTTAGTCAGACAATCTCCCCCACCTAAATTAAATTCTTATAAGCAAATTTACTTACTACAAAGATGCATTGAAACACTACTGGCTGATACAGTGACCAATTATACAGCAAACCTTTAGAGTGATATGCTGGTATATTAATGGGGAACTCAATTTGGGAGATGAATAAAGAGACTTTCATATTTCTGCCAGTTGGTGGGCAAATAGTCAAAATATGAAGTACATGTTGTTTGCAAAACAAAAGTTTCTGGATTAATTTGTCCCATCCATAAGTTTGCTGCTCCAGGCACCCTTATTACATCAAATATGGTATCTGTAACGGAATATATAATAAAGGGATTGTGTAACTCTTGCCATGTATTTGGTGTTGAAACTGTTTCCCTACGTACTTATACCTCGACTAATTGTGTTTGAGTTATTTCCCTTGAATTTTTAATCCACTTATGTAATGATATTGAATGAGCAAAATATAATTTATCATTTCATTTGCATGTACGTTTTAAATGTTTTATTAATCAATAGATAAAGCTAGTCCAAATCAACAGTCCTAAGAGATATTGTAAAGATTAATGTTGTACATGTAGGATGGAAATTTCAGAGAGTAAATACAATGTATGTCAAACACTGGGAGCATACCTGTACATATCTCACCTGAGCCTACCACTAGTTGATGGTTCAGATACCAAATACCATATACTGGGGAACTTTCGCCCAGTCAAATTTTCACCCTTTCGGTAGAATTTGTTTTCACACTGAGACTGTTAATTCTGCCCTTCCTATGGAATCACAATGTGATCAGTACGCATAGTGTGCTCTGTACTTGTTTTCACTGTTATGATATATTCTCCTTGATTACAGATGGGGGAAAAGGCAGAGGTTACACTGCAGAAAAGATCTCCCAGCACACAGTATCCTGGTAGCATATCTCCTTAATTTAATAAGATGTGATTATTTGAACACCACCTACCTAAGCACATAACAGTCTAATAGCTGGTAGCATATCTCCTTAACCTAAAACAGACTGTAGCATATCTCCTTAACCTAAAACAGACNGACCTCAAAAAATACTGGTACCTTAGTTCTTACCTCATTAAATACTGGCACCTCAATTCACATCTCAACAAATACTGGCACCTTAATTCTCACCTCAACAAATAGTGGCACCTTAGTTCTCATCTCAATAAATACTGGCACCTTAGTTCTCACCTCAACNTCTCATTAACCTAAAACAGACTGTAGCATATCTCCTTAACCTAAAACAGACTGTAGCATAACTCCTTAACCTTGGGTATCATTTAAACACCAACCATCCTTAATGCATCTTTGTAGCATGGAGATCGTAAACAGTTTGATAACATGCAAGCTCATTACAACTTTACCGTTGCACAATACTTAAAGAGTCTGAAGTGATGCAGGCCTCTCCTAAACACCTCATACCCCTAGAGCTGAAAGTGATTCCAAACTCTTCGTACAACAAACTACACAAGGGAGTCGAAAGTGCTCCCACTATAATTACCGGGGTGATTCCTTTGCATAAACAATGATGATGATGTACTTCTTACACATACAAAATTATCCTTCTCTAAGGACCAGAAAATGCTTGCTATTTATTTATGTTTTAAAGTGGCTTTTGAAAATGTTAGCAAGGTGTTGGTTGTTATTGCCATACACGTTTGCAATAGGGCACAGGAAAACAAGATGCCAAAAGGGCATGTACTGCTCACCTCAATATATATTAAGGTGGCTCCACACTTTCGCAATTAATCAGCAAAATTCGTTGAAATTTTCATATAATGGTTATGCAACTATGAAGAGTTGATTTTATGAAAATCTAAACATTCCGATAGTTTGGGGATCAAAAAAATAAATTTTCGTCAATTTTAATATTTTCTGGGTTATTTTGTGTGTGGCATTGTTCGGGACAATAACAACAATAATAAAATGAAAAGAAGAATTTCTAATTAACCCTACAAATATTTTATTTTTTTCACAAAATATGTAACACATGTTACACAAAGTGTATTTTTATTGAATTTGTACAGATAAAAGTGATTATCTACAAGCTAAAAGCAAACAGGGCACAAAGATCTATACATATAGAATGGGAAATTGAACAAAATATACACAATGACTTTAGAATTTATTTATTTTACATTTTACAATCACTTTGATCCGGGTGAGTTATCTTCCTTGAAAAAAATCGGAACTTTTTGCAGAGGGATGACATTTACACAATGACAGTTGTCTCTGTGTACATATAACAAAAATGATGGAAATAAATCAAAAATATGATATCAAAATTATCAATTTATTGTTCTTTAATGGAACCAAATTACCCTCAGTCATGTACACTTTGGACATCATTCCACAGTCCACTAACTCATGGTATATTTATAATTACATGTCAGGTACATACATTGTATGTGACCAGAGGCTATCGCATGGTATGCCGTTCTCACATGCACTCACACATGCATTTCATAGGTATCTTGATATTTTACAAAACATTACTTTCACAGAGTAAAGGAAACACGATTTAATCGACAGAGCGAAACTCCCTCTTCAACAGCGATAATCATAACGACCTCGAGCTTATGAACTCGTGTAAGCACGTGATATGCACATGTGAGGTCGGTACGTCCGCATTCCATGTGTTTCTTGAGTTTGTCTGGTCTCATGTCACTGTCTTCCCGTGAGTCTGTTTATGTCTATGAATTGGAAAGCTTTATTCCTGAAGTACGTGTGATTATAAATTTCCCGGTAAAATCTCCATATCGGGTGTTGACATATCATTGGCACGCAGATGTACTATTGTTTACCAGGGGCCTGTTCGTTTATGCGGAACAACCGGTTTGACCGTTTATAAATGTAACAATTTCGGGTATAAATCTTGGCGGACCTGCAAATGTGTATGCAGGCCTTGCAAGGCTTTCTCAAGGCTCGCCTGAAAGCAGTATCAGATTACTAGGTCCGACCTTATTTAATAAACGAACAACAGTGGTCCAATCGGTTTGACCGTTTAAATGAAAACGGCCCAGGTGTTACTATAATTTGCACTACGATATTGAATGCCCGATACGTAATACGGAAATGACGACACGGTGTACATGCACATTTCAATCAAGATAATTGAGTCCGAGCTGTACTTTTTCCGGAAGTACATCACGAAAATGGACGCTGATGACGATGTGTGGAGCCACCTTAAAGTAATTATGTTGAAATAATATCATTACAAGTATCAATGCAGATATTTCCCCATCATGGGCTCTGTCTATCAGTACCAAAACAGACAACACTCCTCCTATATTTCACATTTGATTCGTGGGTCCAAAAATCTTTCAAAGTGGTTGAAATATGATCAATTTGTCATAAAGGGAAGATTTTTTGTCTCAATAGTTAAATGCCCAAATTATTATTTCAGCCCCAAAGCAAAAAACTTTCTTTATACAACAATCAACTCAAAGCTTCACTATGATCATTGCAATTTTGGTTAGGATCCATATATTGGCATATGTGTATATGGTTTTAGAGACTCTGGGTTTTACCATATATGGCCTAGGTGAAGACTATTGGCCTAGGTTATGACCCTGGAACTAAGTCTCCATGGTTGGGGCTAGAACTCAGGGCTAATCCTGGTAGCATAACAGCGTATATCTCTTCCTGAAATTTTATAAAAATTTGACACATGAACATACGGATGAGCGGACAATTTAACATTTGGTACTTGAGAACTAAACTCCTTGTTTTCCAGAAAAATGATTATCTCCTAATAAACAGCAATATAAGGTGCTTAAGGAATGAGTCTTTTGCATTTCATTGTGTTTGTCCTGGATGTCAGTACAGATGTACAAGGGCCCTTCAGGCCAGGTGTGCCCATGATAGTATGAATATTTTTAATTAGATTAATTACTCAGAGGCATTAAGTTGTGCCTCAGCTTTATATATCAAAGCATTTTCCTTCCGGCCAGCTTTCATCCAATTCGAAGGTTGGAATAGTTAATTATAAAATCTCAGGGGTGAATGAGTCAAAGCTGAGAAGGCGTTCAAGTAACAAAAACACACCAATTATTCTTGTGTGCTTAATAATACTTCAAGACCATGTGACTTATTGTACAGATAAAATTGAAATATATTCAACTAAGTAAAAACAAGATAGATATATTGATATGTATTTATGGTGAAAAGAGGAAGAAAGTAAATCACACTGAAAAGCTTTTGTAAGGTTTCTTGGCTAAGAACAATGAGAAAAACTTTTAAAGTCATGGAAAACGTTGTATTTATCTTACAACCATTACACTCACCTGTCGTTCCGTCTGCTTGCTGATCAGAACTTCACACATACATTCAACAGCCGTCATCAGCAAATTCCAAACAAAACCTGCAGATTGAAAGAAGATATTTGAAACACAAAATTGGAATTTCAAGAATTCACCAAATGAAAATGTTTGACAAGGTATTCCAATATAGCTCAAGCAAGAAATTAAAGGAACAGGGAAGAAGTATCTTTTACAAGAGGTCCAAGGATCCTGCATTGTTCACTTGGCCATTTTTGAAATCAAGATGAAATCTGCTTATATTTAGTAGTTTAAGAGAAGAATGCACACACACATCTCAACTCCTTCTACCCTGAAACCTTAGCCATTTTATATATTTGTATAACTCTCCTCAAATTTGGTTAAAATCTTGGGTGGTGATGTCATTTTAGTAAGCCAGCTAATTTGACCCCTATTACCTAATCCCTTCCGACCTGAGGAGAGTCCACCTCTTTATTTGCATAACATTTGATCCCTTTTGACTTTGGCTTTCATCATTTAAAGCATATCAGTCAATTTGACACCTTTTGACCCAGCCCCTTGGCCCCGCAGGAAAGGCAATCGTTAATTTGCATAGCACTTTGACCCCAATGGCTTAAGAATTGCTTACATCTTTGTCCGAGTTTTGATCAAGTTGCTTGAAACTAGATGTTGTTTAATACAAAAGTTGACAATTAACAGACAACAAATGAAGAACCACCACTTAAGCTCAGCCTGAAACTCCATACCAGCTAGTAAGACAACTGATTTACTATTAAATCTCATGGTTCCTACCTAGGATCAGAATGACCTTTTGATAATTACCTATAGAATATAACACGAGAGGCCCAGAGGGCCTGTATCACTCACCTGGATATCTAAGCAATCATGGCAAGTATTCTCTAAATGATATCCAAGGGAATATGCCAAACCCCAAGGCCAATCCTTGTAGCATATCTGTATTAGAATTTTCATGCCCAGCAATTTTACGTATGGTTATGGGGTGGGGATCTCAATTGTTTCCAAGCTGTCACTCAGAAACTAGGTCCATAGGGCTTTGGCTAGACCCCAGGATCAATTCTAATATCATGACTGCATTTGTCTCTTTTTGCCCAGAAATAATTTGTATATATAGTTTTGAGGTGGGGATCTCAACCATTTCGAAGTTATGACCCAGGGGTTAAGTATCCAAGGGTGGGGTAGTCCCCAAGGCCATCCTGGAAGCATATGTGCATTCATCTCTTTATACTCAGCAATTATATATATGGTTATAGGGTGGTGATCTCAACTGTTTCCAAGCTTTGACTAAGAAACTAGGTCCATAGGGGTTCGGTTAGACCCCAGGGTCTATTCTAATATCATGACTGCATTCATCTCTTTATGCCCAGCATTTGTATATATAGTTTTGGGGTGGGGATCTCAATCGTTTTAAAGTTATGGCCCAGGGACGATGTCTCCAAGGGTTGGGCCAGACCCTAGGGCCATCCTGGAAGCAAATGTGCATTCTTCTCTTTATACTCAGCAATTGTAGATATGGTTTTATGGTGGGGATCTCAACCATTTCCAAGTAATTAACTTATTTTGGCCCAACCCCTTAGCCCGGGGGGTCAGCCCCACTATTTGTACAATTTTGAATCCCTGCCTCCCATGAATGCTTCCGACCAAATATGATCAATATCCATGGCATAGTTCTACAGAAGAAGTCGTTTATAGCAATATAGCCAAATTGTCCCGTTTTGGCCCCGCCATCAGCCCCCTCATTTGTAAAATTTTGAATCTCTACCACCTAGGGATGCTTCGAGTCAAATATGGTTGATATCCATCTCTTAGTTCCAGAGAAGATGTCGCTTAAAGCAATATAGCTAAATAACCCTTTTTGGCCCCGCCCCTCAGCCCCACCATTTGTACAATTTTGAATCCCTGCCTCCCATGAATGCTTTTGATTAAATATGATTGATATCAAGTACATAGTTCTACAGAAGAAGACGTTTGTAGCAATATAGCCAAACTGACCACTTTTGGCCCCGCCCCTCAGCCCCCTGGGCGGTCAGCCCCACCATTTGTTCAATTTTGAATCCCCACCACTTAGGGATGCTTCCAGTCAAATATGGTTGATATCCATCTCTTAGTTCAAGAGAAGAAGTCGCTTAAAGCAATAAAGCCAAATTGCCCCCTTTTAGCCTCTCCCCTCAGCCCCCTGGGGGGTCAACCCCACCATTTGTACAGTTTTGAATCCCCATCACCTAGGGATGCTTCCAGTCAAATTTAGTTAAATTCCAATCAGTGATTAAGAAGAAGTTGTTTAAAGAAATTGTTGACGGACGGACGACAGACGCCACGGTATGGCATAAGTTCACCTTGGTCCTTTGGACCAGGTAAGCTAATAATAATACCCTTGATCTATCAAACAGACATTTGGTACAGAAGAAACATAAGGACACGACATATTTACCTTTGATAAAGTTGAACAGAATGACCTATTGACATTCGGTAAAGTAGTAACGAATTACCTATTAACATTTGGTGTAGTAGTACAGCAAGACATGTTACATTGACCTTTGCTACCGTTGTACAGAGTGATCTATCACATTGACCTTTGCTACCGTTGTACAGAGTGACCTATCACATTGACCTTTATTACCATTGTACAGAGTGACCTATCACATTGACCTTTGCTACCGTTGTACAGAGAGACCTATCACATTGACCTTTGCTACCGTTGTATAGAGAGACCTATCACATTGACCTTTGCTACCGTTGTACAGAGAGACCTATCACATTGACCTTTGCTACAGCAATACAGAATGACCTTTTACATTGACCTTTGCTACAGTAATACAGAATGATCTATTACATTGACCTTTGCTACAGTTGTACAGAATGATCTTTTACATTGACCTTTGCTATAGTAATACAGAATGATCTTTTACATTGACCTTTTGCTACAGTAATACAGAATGATCTTTTACATTGACCTTTGCTACAGTAATACAGAATGATCTATTACATTGACCTTTGCTACTGTTGTACAGAATGCTCTTTTACATTGATCTTTGCTACAGTAATACAGAATGACCTATCACATTGACCTTTGCTACCATTGTACAGAATGACCTATCACATTGACCTTTGCTACCATTGTACAGAATGATCTTTTACATTGACCTTTGCTACTGTTGTACAGAATGACCTATCACATTGACCTTTGCTACCATTGTACAGAATGACCTATCACATTAACCTTTGCTACTATAATACAGAATGACCTATCACATTGACCTTTGCTACAGTAATACAGAATGACCTTTTACATTGACCTTTGCTACAGTAATACAGAATGACCTATCACATTGACCCTTGCTACTATAATACAGAATGACCTATCACATTGACCTTCGCTACAGTTGCATAGAATGACCAATAATAATAATAATAATAATAATTTGAGGTTCGTTTATACCGCTTAATCACAACCTAGTTCGTAGGTTGTCTCAAAGCTGTTCACAAATCATTATCGATGGTTAAAGGGCCTTTGCAACCAGCCATTATCTTTCTCAACTCCCTGGGGAGCATACTGTTGGTTGTGCCATTTCGGCGCTCACAGCTAGCATTCAACAATTCTAGCTCTGCCCAACCACATACTCATTTACAGCTGAGTAGACTGGAACAAGAAAGGTAAAGTATTTTGTTCAAAGATACAACACAGAACCATGACGTGACTCGAACCCGCAACCCTTTGGTCATGAGCCCGGCGTCCTACCACCGGACTATAGTGCCTCCTAAAACCTATCACATTGACCTTTGAATTGGTATATGAAGATTAGAATGACCTATTTCAGGATTCAGATTTAAATGACCTATCACATTGAAAATATGAAAATTAAAAAAATAGAAAATTATTGATGGCAAATCTAGAATTGGGAATCTGACAATGTTGCATTGATTACAATCAACCAGCTAGTGCAATAGGTTTGGGATGGATGGCTGCATATTATAAAAGAAAGACAGGAAGACTTGGCAGAAATTCAGCTAATAAATTCCAAATCACAATCTCTTTCTACAATTAGATGATACTGCACATTGGTTTTTTGTGTTAATCACAAGCAGAATAAACATATGTCAACACATATTTGAAAGTGATAAACAATCCTGGCGGAGATATCTCGCTTCTGTGTACACAGAGCTAATGGACAAACTACATGAATGTTTGTGGCGCGGTGTTATGTGAGACAGCTGTGGGGGTGTTTTTGCATGCCTGATGCTGAATACAGCCAGCATCTTTATTAGAAAAAAAAATTAACATTTAAAACAACAAAAATAGCGTTTTTATTTTCAATAATAGAAATAATATCTCTTTAGAATAATATTGACTAAAAAACACCAACATATTTGGGGGGAAAAAAACCACTTAATTAGATGTCATGTATCACATGAAGTTGGGAAACACATTGTCTGCCTTCTACATTTGAACTGTTATCTGGTCCAATGCTGAGCTTCTAAATGTATTCCTAATTGATTTTAGAATATATTTTCAGCTGTATTTCAAATTTATCTTTGCCATCCCTACCATTACAAAATTCTTCAGTCGCTAACATGCTATAGCGTATTAGTTAATGACAATTGTTAAATGTTTCCAACATTTTATTTTGAATATAATCTTCCCCCTATCACCTTAACATGTCAGTTAAGGAGATACACACCTCCTTATAAATCTCCTATTTTGAAGAGTTACAAACTAATAAACATGTACCTGGAAAACAATTTCAATAATTGGTAAAAATGCCTTATAAAAACTTTTTTTTTTTACTTTTAATCTTTTAACAATAGCCTTATTGACAAGTATTGTCAATTAATTGACTATTAACAAGTTACAACTTAACAAAACAATAAAAGAAAAATCTCAGGGTGATTCAAATTCTGAGGTAACAGCCAACATGATCGCAAATACTTTAATATCAGGAAGATTGTCACAAAAAACTTTAATATTGGGAAGATTGTTACAAAATACTTTAATATCATGAAGATAGTCACAAAATACTTTAATATCGGGAAGATTGTCACAAACAAAACACTTTAATATCAGGAA